GGAGCGGGATACAGAGGCTGGATTCGGGACCTCAGGATCCGGGTCAAAAGCAGGAGGTCAGATGGAGTCCTCTCTGGACAACAGCCATTGCAGAAAAGGGGCAGAAAAGAAGGTCGAAGCTCTTGTGATCACTCAATTTATACTAAATATGACGTATATGGGATGGAATACTCTCGTTGGTCACCTGTCCTGTCTATTACCCCCCGGAGGTGCAACCTTTTACTTCCTTGTGACCCCTCTCACTACCCGGCACCCCCAGCGTGGCACACAAGAGCCAGCAGTGGCCTTGGTCACTATAGGAATAAATATCAGCAAGAGCCCTTCTGCATCCCAGTCCCAGGCAGTAACATCAGTAAACATCAGGGGTTATCACTGCTGGTAGCACACACTGTCTGCAAAAACATGCTGCTGACTTCAGAAAGTGCAGCCTTTTAGAAGACTAAACTGGAAAGGAAAAATCACTAACAGAACTGGGTTTTTAGCTAAACCCAGGACAATGAAATAAATATGTCCAGAACAGAAATGTTGCTAAAACATCCCAGAGAGAGAAAGCCACAACTTGGGGGTTATTTTTGCGTGTGCAACTTGAAAACAACAGCACTTTCCCTTTGGTTTCCAGGTAAAGGCAATGTAACCAAGAGAATGTTCAACATACACCAAAAAGCTGAAAAATCAGAGTTCAACACAGCTTCACCTTCTCTATCAGAAAATTTCAGCCAAGCACCATTATTTTACGACTGCAAAGACTTGCTTGAGGCTACAGCCAAAGGCTGCTGCTTTCAGACTGGTTGGCCGCACCCCATGTTCCCATACGCTAGAAGTACAACTAAAAACACTGGAAGAATCAGTTTTGAAATTCCCTCTTACATATCTTACCTATTCAAAACAAGTAAGATTAAAAGCATTTCAGTTTGCTGCAATGCCTACCATAAAGCATGTGCCATGAGGCCAGCAGGCCTGCCACAGATGGCACTTGAGCAAGGACCCAAGGACACGAGACCCAAAAAGCTCACTGCTCTTTAGGCAAAACACACAGTTGAAAGCTTCTCAAACAGTGCTGAACACAGTAGGAAACATCACAAGAATATTAAGAAATGTTACAAAAGCGATCCAAATTACTCCAAAAAGTGGTTTAGAGGTTTCATGATTAATTTGAAAAAGGCTTCCCACTGCAGGCTGAGGCCACAGCCACAACATGCGAAATTTCAGATTACCTAGTGCAGGGCAGACTCGCCTCTCCCACTACTTTCACCTCTCTGAGACGCAGAACACAGATACTAATGGAGAAGATTAAAAATGTAAGAACTGTCATTTCAAAAACACAAGTCATCCATTATTTTCCCTTGCCGCATTAAGATAAAAATAACTGTCAGCATTTTTAATTTAGTTTTAAAGCTTTGTGATACGATGTTCTTAAGGGAACAAGAAGTGTGCCCTTTGCACTGGTGTGCATGTGTATACTTTTTTATTTTTTAAAAAAGCAGTCAAATGAAATTCAGTTCCCCAGAAGAAGGATAAAGCCAGGGAAAGTTCTGGGGCAGGAAGGAAGAGCTGGGACCACCGGCAATAGGTCCTGTATCACATCATCGGGAGCACTGTCAGAAAGCATCTGAGCAAAAAGCAATTCTCAGATTGTTATGAAAAAAATATCAGAAGCCCAATGAAACATTTAACTGCTTGCTAAATTGAACCTCTCAGGCCCGTAAATCAAATCTTTTACATTGAGAACTGTAAATTGTTCAGTGTTTGCTTGGTGCTACTGAGTTAAAGTACTGAAAACAAGATAAATACAGTAGCCATCATCTCTCCCCCTTCTCCAGGTGAACCTGGGCTTCAGCACTACATTTCACAATTTTCGATATACGAAAAGGTTCTGAACTGCCAGTATAGCAATATATTTTGTAACAAATCTGAAGATACTGAAAACCTGAATTGAAAAAAGTTGCACCTTTCAGCAAAGGTATTTTAGAATCATTTCTAGTCATATATTTTGTCCTCAACACCACACTGACTTTCAATATTCATATGTTCTTTTTCCTTATTACAGTCTAAGTACGCAACATCTTTTTCAAGGGAAGAGGTATTTTATGAAAAAACATTCAGGAACTGGGGATGCAAAAAACTATAAAGTCACTAGCAAAGTCCATTTTTGTGCCTTACATACTAATATTAATGTGGCCAAAGGAAAATAAGGTTCAGGAAACTTGCCTATCTTCATTAGAAAGTATTTGTTCACTAAAAATCAGAATCTGCGGTGCTGAAAACTACTATTAACAGCATGTACACTACGATTTAATTACTCAGAATGTTTTTAATTAGGAGACCAAAGGACATATTAAAGGCATGCTTATCTCTGCCAACCAGAAAAACTCATCAGGACAAAGAAAAAAATCTTACTGGCAGCAGGCGATAGCTGTTGTTAATTTGACAGGATTTTCTAGCCGATTGTTTTAAAAGTACGTACATTCAGCATGTGGTTTACCATTTAATTATTGAACAGTTAAGAGCAACATTTCAGTACTTTGGGGTTAACTTCCTAATTTAAAGAGAACATATTTCTGCAGAGATAAATACATTAATGTACTATAATCTAAAATTGAGAAATATCATGAACGGAGATAAAACCCAACAATTTCCAGAAGAACAGATTTCATGTTTAGACACTTTTGACAGAAATAAGTGTACTGAGGAAATATGAGGAATGAGAATTGAACAAAAAGGAACTTCTCAAATGCACTCTAAGTAACAATTAAGTCAGACTCCTGATTTTAAAACTCATGTAAATTTAGTAAAATGCAACAGAACATTAGATATTACGCTGTACCACCTGAAGAAAGAGGATATTTCATTGCATAGAGAACACAAGCAACAAATTCTACAGCATTAAAAAGTAACAGACAGCGGTTTACAGTATTAAAAAAAAAGTAAGCTACTATATTTTTTTTTCCCCACACGCACCAAATTCCTTCCAAAGTAGTTGTGTAACAGGGTCTGCAAATAATACGGCAAAAAGAAAAAAAACAAGACTGACCACACTGACATGCAAGATAGCTACGAAAACCATAACCCTCATCTTTTAACTGTCAATGTCTTGTGTTGCCAACTGGAGTGTTCAACATAAATAAGGTTGCATACCTGAAATCAAATTCTCTGAGTTCACTGATCAGGTTCACAGTGTTGTGCCTCCTAAAACCTTTAAAAGCAATTGCACTAATCTGGGCCTCATGCTGCCGAGTACCCAACTTCCATCCATTCCCCTGCTTCTCTTGGGAGTCTCCTCTAGGCAGGCAGACGGCCAAGAAACTCTGTGAGGGGATGGAGAAAGGATCCGTGAAGGCAGGCAATTCTGAGAAATCAAGTTATAGGTATGCAATCTTATTTTTCTCTCTTAAATTGCTCTTTCTACTGAGGACCAGACTAGAAAGTAGCAGTTAACAAAAAAAAGAAAGGCCAAAGCAAAGATGTGCAGAAAGATTTGGCAAAATTTGGAAATTTCCAATGACTTATTTTCTAATTTATGTGATTAAAATACTGGAAGAGCAGGTAATGAGAAGCACTACAGGCAGAGCAGAGTTATCTTCCTTAAATATCCCTGTAAATTCTGCTGCAACAGCTCATTTTAGTTAAATAATACTTTGGCTTGGCTTAATAGAAACTGATGTCTTATTTCCAACTTCAAAGACCATCTCAGCCTACAGAATGAAGTTGCACGAGATCAACTAAATGGTCCAGATAGCCCACTAGCCTGTTGCAAAGACATACGCTAAAATCAAAACAGTAGATTGCAGTGGATACCTGAGCATATAAACATAAACAAATAGCATATTCCACCAGCCTCCAATGATTTGGAGCTCAGAGAATTCCCAAACTAGCGTCTTTGCAGTTAATAATCCTCAAGTACTTCTCCTTCATGAGTAAGCCCACTTTCCCCTTGAACTCAGGCAAACGCCCATAATAATCTGTTACAAAGTTCCATGGCTTAATTATCTTTACACAGGTTTTGAATTTGCTACCTTCCTAGTTTCATTTGTCAATCCCTAGTTTAAACTTTCTCATCTAGAAGCTATTACATGCCTTTGATCGTCCCTGTCACCTCCTCTCAGCTTCTTTGCTGTTTTTCCACACCCTTCAAAATGTGTAAGGAGGACCACAACTACAGACCCGAGCCTATGATGGATCCATATCTTGAATACAGTGTCTTCCATTTCATTGTTTACTCTTGTTATCTGCAACAATCCATTTCCTATTTACTGCTATTCAGCAAGAGGACAAGATTTTCCTTAGTCCCAGATGTATTTTTGAGTGGCAACAGCCACAGAGACCATTTTACGCTTATGTTTTAATTTAGTTATGCGCTCTCCCTCCATCACAACGGTTTACATTATATCACCTGCCAGATTATTGCCAAGAGTCCCAGTCATTTAAGATCCTTCTGCAATCCACCACAATTGGCCTTTGTTTTTAACAATCCAAATAATTTGGTATTATCAGCAAACTTTGACAGACCATTATTTATCTTCACTGCAAACAAGTGACTGTGTTAAGAAATACAACTCCCAGCATATATTTTTGTGAGACTCCACCACTGACCTTCCTTCACTGCTGAAATCAGCTGTTGTCTCTTACTCTGTTTCTTACCTTCTAAACACTTATTACCATGAGGACTTTCTTTTTTTCACTTCACGATTACTTTGTTTCTTTTAGACACTCTGATGTACTTCATTGAAAATCCAAGATCTTATCTACTGGATCTACCTTCAAAGAGCTTTGATAAATTACTGCCCTTTATAGGAGCAAAACTTAATTCTCTTCCAGTGTGACAAAGCATGTGTCCCCAAGAATTTTATTATAGCTTCTATTATTTTAGCTAGGACAGATATCATTCATCTCTAATACTCCAGAGAGGTATAAAAACATTACAAGGATTGATTTACATGGAAATTGAAAACCATGGATAGGAGACACTTAGAAGTCTAGTCCTGCACATAACGGTCATTAATCCGGTAGTACGTGTTCCAGGTACATCCTGCTAAATTAGTTTCACAACAGAATAATTGCATTATTTGACTTGCCACAGAGTATGACAAGTCAAAATAGGGTTTCTCCTGTCTAAGATACTACCATCAAAAACAATGGTTGAACACAAGTTCCAAGCTCACTTCTACTGGTCAGCTCAGTGCGAGCCCTGTGGGAATTATTCAGCAAATAAGGAATTTAGAAGCATTTAAATGTATTCAAACACCACCAATCCATTGTACTCTGATCTATCAGATAGCCAGGTGAAGCTTCCCATGTCAGCCTTTGAAATAGACTCAATTCACAGCTTTTAATTTCATAAAGCAGAAGAAAGAAGGAACCTTAACTTCTGCTTCTCTTTACACACTCGCAGCCTAAAGCCATTTAGAGAACATCTACTCATACAAAAGAAACCAGGCCAAGTCATAGTCCTCTGGTTGCCCCTACTGCTGGATCTAATTTCAGAGTTGGTCCTGCACTGAGCAGGAAGTTGGGCCATATGAGCTCTGAGGGTATTTTCCCTAAGCCAGCCAGTGATTCCATTCAGCTGTGACCATCTCTCTCTCCCAGCCGGGCAGGCTCAGCCTGTTGCGTTCCAGACAACACCTGGAGGCAGTTTGTGGGACTACAACGGGTCACACCGTGGTCCTAACAGGCAGAATGATTGGCAGCATACCATTTTGGAGGGAAAGATGCTTTAGCCATGAGTTCTGCTGGGTGACTTGCTGACCATGCTGTGACAGATTTTATTTATGAGTGTAGATGTAGCATTAGTGACTCCTTTGAAGCCACATCAAAAATCTAGGAAAAAAAATTAGACCTATAATGTGAAGTTTGGTCAGAAAAGAATGTATGTTAGCGGAATTTTTTTAAATCTATTGCTTGTTCTAACTAGTGCTTCATGTTCCAAAATATTAAATAAATCACTGTCTAATTAGTTCTCTTAATATTTTATGAGCAAAAAAAAAAAAAAAATTCTAAGTGGAAGGCACCTGAACAGGAAGCATCAAATTGACATAGTATACATCTTTTTACAGTTTTGGAAACATGTCCAATAAGTGTGCACATCTATCACTAAGGGAGTTTTTGGATCCTAATCCGGTTTAAACTTATTTCCCTGTCAAAGGGCTGTAATTACCTTACAAACTGATTTCAATTTTGCTAATTAGGTGTAAGTCAAATGTAACTAGAAAAGCAAACTGTTCACTGTTAGCCTTAACTTCCTAACTTTTAACTCTAGCTATACTTTCCTGTTGTTTAAAAAAAAAAATCACGAATTTTACAAATAGAAAGTGAAGAAGAGTTGATCCCAATCAGCTTATAATATAAAAGAACTGATCACCTAAAAAATTAAGTTGAACCACTATTTCTAACCAGCTATTTACTGCTTAAGTATCAGAAACAGTTTAAAGAAGTATTGTACAAGAATATATTTTCCTTACCCCATTTTCTTTTTGTGAAATAGGCATCAGCACTAGGGTCATTGAAGTGTCTGCTCATCATAGTCTCTCCTCCAGCATGAAAATCATATGCAAACACAAGAGCTTAAAAATAGAAACATGTGACAATTACTAATTCAAGCATATTTAGAAATATAAAACTCTCAACACATCAGTTGGGAAAAAAACCAAAAAACTTACAATGTTCCCCAAATGCTTTAGTGGTAAACACTTCACGCAAAGTTACTATATTTGAATGCTGAATTTTTTTCCACATGTCAACCAATACCATGCACTTTGTGTTAACAAGACGAAAACCTAGAAAATAGCAAAAAACCATGGGTTAGAATGTAATGTTTTGGGGGAGAATTTTTTCCCTTAACATTTCTTCTGAAGCTACTGAAAAGCAACAAGATGCTAAAATATGACTAGAACGCTTTGGAATGCTAGTCCTACCAAGACAACTCAATTTTTCTCACCATGTATCCTCCGAAGGCAATACGGCAGGTCATCTTTACTATTTACAGCTTTATAGCATGACGTGATGTACCCAAAGTTGCTTGTTTTCTGTATCCGATTGGGCGGTGGCAGTGGTTCCAAAGGAAAGAGACTGTGGTAGCTGTCCACTTCCGCAGGAACTGCTAAAATCAGTTTATACACAGAAGCACAGTGTCAGTTGACTTGGAGAAAGTTATTAACCATAGCAGAGGAGATTAAAATGACTGTCATTAATACATAAATCCTTTGCACTACCTTAAGTGCACATAAAGTTAAAAATACACTATTTTTAGTGATTTTTTTTTTCTTTAATAGGTATATATGTTCCTTAAGAGATTCCACAGAGATAGAATAACTGTTTTCAGAAAAAGTTACACATAGTCAAATCAACAGAAGAGATGCACGGTTCCATCTGCCATTTTCTCATTTCCTTTAACAGTTCACTCTTCTGAATGGCCTTTCTTTGAGGGACTTTTCCTGTACTGATTCATAAATAAGCACCAATTTGCATACAGATTTCATAACACTTTAAAAGTTCCATTTGTATCACAAAAAAGTAAATCTGAATCTGTGTGTTCTAACATACTGGTTTAGGAGATAGAGAGTGCTGAAGGTTTACAAGTCATATTAATAGGTTACCCTTGCAAGAAAAGATACACTTCTTCATTAGGATTAGTAAACTAAAATGCAGGAGTTTTTAATATGATAATGATACAGGAAAAAATCCCAAACATTTGGATATTTGGAAAGTAAGGATATTGGAACAAAAAAACCCCAAACAAACAAAAGCAATCTGCTTAAGTCAAGTTGAACATGATCAATTGTAAATTCCCAAAAATCCAAATTACAGTGAATTGTATATGCCTCCAGTCTGACAACTTGTATAAAGCCTTCTCATACACCAGTCAAATTCAACTCAAACTACTTTGCTAGTTACATATAGCCTTCGAAAATATAAGTACTCTTTCAAGGAATACTTAATATATGCAAAGTAATAAAATACTGTTCTTCATGAGGCTTCATAGCCTTAATGATTTTTCCTTTCTCAGTGATTTTAAGTGTCTGCAACCATTAAGGAGTTTCAAAACCAGAAGAAAAGTACAGAAGAAAAACAGAATTGAAGGAACAAATTTCATCTTTCTGAAATACTTTGTATCTGGTTATCCACAGCCCAGGCTGATGATTAAGGCTTCATGAAAAGTTAAAAACAGGTGGTAATTTTTTTGCAACACATTGTTAATATAGTTGAATATGCATGGGGACACAGAATAGTATGACACACAGTTTAGTTTACAAGAAACACTTACCAGGAATATCAGCTTGATCAATCTGGGCCATAGTTATTAAGTGTCTGTTGATCAGTTCCTGAAGAACAAATCAAGTTTTGAACATTATAATTCCGCTCATCATTTCTGATAAGTTAACAGCACACTGTCTTTGGAGTACCATCTATCTGTACTACAACAGAGAGTTAACGCAAGTGTCTGGGGTAGGGCTGGCGGAGAGAAGACTGACACCTCTGGGTTTTTTAATTCTCCACAGGGAAAATTAACTGCACAGATTTTGAGTGGCTATTTCTCTTTTACTAGTGGCAATTTTCTAGTTTCTCCCATGATAAGTAATTTTCTTTTAAATGCTCTATCATCTTACCTGTCTGAGCTCATCTGCCATGAAGAATGAAGGTGCATTTGCTTTTGGTTGCATGTAAGCAACGTGAGGTGCAGCTGGATGGTAAATGTGGTAGTTTGGAAATACCTGAAAACAAAACATTTTAGAGCAGCAGTTTAAATTCCTTAAGGAGAGTGGAAATAAAGAGTTTTGTCACCCTTTTAGTTTGACCTGCTGAGCTACTAAGTCTTCATGCACAATACCTGTTATAAATATACTGTCAGATATATTGCAATTTCCTTATGTAATATTCACTACTAATAATTTCAAGGGGGGTTGTATGTACGTACACAGTTATTTTAACATTTTTGCAACTGCCTTTTCCCCTCCACTGTAAATGTAAGAGTTATTTAACCTCTCTGAAAAAAAACAAAAACACAATCTCAATTTTTTATGTTTCCTCATTATGTATGTATTTACTGAGACATACCTCAAATGCTTTCTATTGCTGTATTAAAAAAACCCTCAAAACCCTGCACAGAGGTAAATGAAAAATACATTAAGAAGTTCTCTGGTCCTTAGATTCCAGTGATTTTGGAGAACAATTACAAAAATTAGAAGGCCAAATCTTCCTACAGAATAAGGGTTTCAGAGTGTTAAGAGTAGTCGCTGCAGTATCAACCAATTCAGCATTTGGAAACTCCACACGCTTCTGTATCAGGAGCAAACATACCATTCCCGTGAGAGGTGCTGGAGTTGTATCAGTGTAGAAGTACGTTGTTCCACCCACTGTTTCCTTCTGGATCACCTGGCCAGTAGATGGAGGCTGAGAGACAGCGTTAGCGACAGAAGCAGAGGCACTAGTAGGCACCATATAGTTTGCTGGGTTAGGAGTATGACTTCTTCTTCGAGGAGCGGGAGATGTGTGAGGAGTTATTTTGGGGGAATGCAAGGGAGAAGATCCTGCTGACAGTGACATTCCTTAAAGAAACACAAAAAGATTCTGCATCAAATCTTTGTCATAAGAAAAAAAAATAAAATCAGCAATTTGTAAAAAACCAAACAGCCTTCACTACCAATAATATTCTAAGCAGGTGAGATGTTTAAGGATTGCTACATCTATATGAGGAGTTAAGAGGTAAAACATTAAGAGTAAGATTGAACAAATACATTTTCCCAAAAAGCTTTGTTTAATTCAGAGAGAGACAGCTTAGAAACACATGATCTAAATACAGAGAACTGGTTCAAGTAGTAGAAAGGGGAAGACAAATCAAATTAATGCTGGGTCTAGAAGAGATTTTATTAAACTGGAAAAAGATAAAATATTAATGACTATACGATAAGTGAATGTTTATGTAAGTTACACAAGCAGTCAGTGGAGTTTGCCAAGCTATAACTCACTTCACCTAATTACGTGTGTCCCTTTTACTAGAACCAACTCCGCAGCTTAGAGTTAGACCTCCAGTAACTACAGCACACAAATAAACAATACACAATATCCTACTTTTAATAATCTCAGGGGAGAAATCATCTATTTTTCTATAATTTTTATACTCAAAAATCATTCTCCAAAAGATCTATTTGATATGCAGAGATAGGTAACTTCTCAGAATACAAAGTCCATGAGGCATTCATGCTGAGATTTTCAAATTTATTTCAAATGATTTTATTGACTGCTGTTCACTCTCAGTATTATACAGGCAGCTCTCAGTTGAAACTCGAAAAGCTCAGCTTCTAAACAAAGCACGTCAGTGGGGAAAAACAAGGGCAATTTCTTCTGCACACATGCTTTTTAGTTACCAAAAACTAGTTGAGTTAGCTCAAGAGTCATCACACACAGAATTCTAAATATGCTTATTTATAAAAGCTTAGATGTCAAAGAAACCTTCTAGGGTGATGAAGAGCTTACTCTTCAGAAAACTAGTATTATTAGTAGAAGGTTCTAGATACTCAACTACACAGATTAAGACCATTGCTCAGTTCAGACTGGGACGGACTTTCTCTTTTTTTTAACACTCAGAAATATATTAGCCCTACTAAATTCTTTTTTTTTGAAAGGATATAAGACACACAACTTTCATATTTAATGTTCCATGGACAGATGAGAATTCATCTTTACTTAAGAACTCAGTCAGATGGTACTCAGACTACTTTAAGCAAGTACTGAGTACTAAAAACAAGATTGACTTTTTTTTGCATACACTTTTTAGTTACCAAAACCTAGTTTAGTTACTTTAATCAAGAGTTACCGTATGCAGAGTTCTCAATATGCATCATCAGTCATGTGTAGGAGTGTTTTCACACTTATGTCTTGTCTCTACAGTAGTCACATCCCTCCTACATTTACTTTTTTCTTTTTTCAAACAAATCACAAAAGCAAATAACAATTTTAGTATTAATAGTTTAATCAGTAGTTGGGAAAAAATTATTTTGAAGCCATATTATACTAAAGATACCAACAGACTATTAGGAACCTTTCAATTAGCTCAAATAATTTACACTGGCATCTCAAATCATGTATTAATTCAGTGCAATTACATCTTTTGCTCTTGAAAAGTCATACATCCAACAAAATAAAGAAGATTTTTTAATGTAAACCATTAGAAAGTCTTATGCCTTTCTCTTTAGCTGGCTATCTTCATTTATTTATTCTTTTTATAAGATATAAAAATATAAAATACAAGAATATAAAAATTATAAAAACATGAAGTCTAGACTTCTCTGGGTGAGAAATTTTCTTTATATTAATACATGTATGTGTGTGTGTAGACACATTATAGATAAGTAATATCCAGAAATAAATTGTTGTTGATTAGTGTATTAATGAAATACAAATTACAACAGGTACTTCTGAACATTTAATTTTTAAAGTACTTACTAATGGTAACATAAGTAGTCTCCTAAAAATCTGTTTATAAATCAACTGTAGGGCTGTAAAATGTTACGCATTGTGATAGCACTGGTTTATGCTACCAAGGAAAGTAAATTTCTATTAAGGTAAAATCTGCCTTGAGTGACTAACACATATTTCAACAGCTCCTGTATACTGTTACATTTTTAACAAAAAGACTAAAATATTAATGTATTCTTAATCCACTGTGGGAAAAGAGCAATTTCAAAGGAGACAATATATTACTATTAAAATTTGAAGGATAGGTAATTAAAATGGCGATAAAAGCAAAGCAGCTCTACAATTTATGTCTATGATGTTCAAGGGATTCTCTTCATCGCAGGGAAGCTATTGACATGCCTTTTTCACTCTATTCCATTAAAACATCCTATTAACTGCAGTCCTTGCAAGCATGCAATCTCTACCCATATAGAAATAACTGGCTTCGAGAAACTTATGTTTCAATAAAACATTCAACTGTAGGAACAAGGAAGAAAAAACAAACAGCAGTCTTCATATATACTGATGAAAAATTAATCGAAGACTTCTCTACTTTAAAACAAAAAGTGTATGTACAAGACACAGTATACTAAAAATCTTATCTTAGAAATGAAAATGATGACTTGCAACCTTGCTAAAATTATATTGTGACCTTCTACTGAAAGTTTCTCAGAATAAATAAATAAATAAATAAACCCTATCACTAGTGGTTCTTACTGATACAATTTCGATTTCTGCTGTAAGATTTACTTCTCTAAAAATTTATTCCTGTCCAAGAACAGTTGCAAATGTAATCCTTAATGTCACTGCTTGGGTATTAACACAAAACTGAAAGAAAAGGAAGACAGTCAGAGTTACACAAATCCCTTCAAACACCCTTCCAGCCTCACTTAGGTCTGATTTTGGAAGTACATTGACAGTTCAGTGAAAATCATCTGACGAGCAGAACACACAGGCTTCTCATTTGACAATGTACAGAACAAGTTCCGGATATGAAAGAAATGTGACTACAGTTTAGTTTTATGCTACTATAGCAAGTTACAAGAAATTTGCTGCTAGTGCTGTGCGGGCAAATATCCAAGGTCATAGACTCTGACAGACCTGCATTAAATCCTCCAGAGTCTAAATAAATAAGAATTAATAACTAGGAGCTGAACAGCACATAAAAAAGGAAAGAAATTAAAAGCTTTTTATACAGTGAAACCGATGTATAGCTAAGTACTGACAGAAGGAAATAAGTGGGTGCCTATACTCAAGCAGGATTTCACCACTTTCCTTAGTATTTCAGTTAAAACCTTAATATTTAACCACGAAAAAACCCACCCAGAATTAGAGGAAAACAAATGAAAACGGCTGTATTAAAGGGTGAACATATATTCCTACTGACTGATATTGAAGGAAAAAGATGGTCCTGAACATATGATGGTAACAATGTGGTGAATATGGCATCACCTCTCACTGAACTAGATATGTTGTTTTCAATAGCTTAATTTATATAAACACTTAGTCACTTAAGGGCCTAAGAAAAAAAAAAGTGCTTTGAATAATCTGATTTATTATATACATATCTAACATACCAGTGATCCTGACAAAAAAACCCCAAAAACAACAAACCACTTCTAAGCTTTCCCTATGAAATCATGTAGTGTTCCCCTATATTAAAAGTGACCAAAAAGACTGCTTTAAAGTGTCCTGAGACTTATCTACCAGTAAAAGTGACTCCCCAGTCCTCATCTTGGTGAATCTTAATACCCTTCATGAAGAAGTCAAATACCATCTTGAAAGGTAAACTGCAAGGACAAAGGGCTTCTTTCACGTCACATTTATTTACATCTGAAAATCAGAACTGTCACAGTATCATACCAACACAGATACAGATACAGTTATGGGATTTTAAGGTCATTTCACAATATTCACAGTGACTGTACAGGCTACCTACACATACCTGGAGCTCCTGCTGCTATTCTCATTTTAGGTAGAGGTCATACTTACATATCCCTATTTATTGTTATATTTTCACTTCTTGCATTGTTTTTTATTTTTGAAGTTTCATTGGGACTGAGGAAAGAGAAGTAGTAGACTTAGAAATTCATTTGAGACAGTGCTCAAAGATACTTTACGAGATTAACACTTAACAAAGCTTTGTAGCATGCAACGTATCTGAATTAAAAGCTATGTTGTGTTCTGAAACTGAGAATTCGTACAGATAAACAGGATCAACAAAGGACATCGAGCATGTACTTTCATTAAGGACTCAGCGTCTACAATTTTTGTGATTCAATTAAGTTCACAACTTAACGAAGCAGGATTTCATTAAACTCGTGTATGCAAATCAGCCAGCCTACACCATTTACAACTTTTAAAAAACAGAGGAATCCAATAAATGTTCCACATCTATACTTTCTTACCTTTGCCTACCAATATACTCATCTACAACCAGCTCTATGGACCATAACACGTTCAGAGGTGAAAAACTAAGCATATACCATTTTCTTACTATAATGTTTTGTACTTTAGAGATACTCTTACAAATACTAGGTACATTCTGAGGAATGCCTAAATGCAGTAAATAATAAAACCAGGCTATCTCAATTACTGCTTTCAAGTAGCATCCTTAAATTCACTATATGTTTCTTTTTATTACAAGCTCCCTATCAGGTCATTAGCATCATAGCTGTGCATTTCCAAGTTAATTAAATCTGCTTAATGCCCCAAACAGCTTTAGAGTTGTAAGTTTTTTCTCCTCAATTTTATTTGGGATAAACTAATTTTACAGTCTGTTCACCCTTCTTTCTCTCTTGTATTCATCTGGCATGACTATGGAACTTTCTCAGCAGAACAGCTGCACCACACTTGATACAGGAGGCTGGAGCAAGCTCTTGAGGCCTTAGGGCCACTCAAACCACCTCAGCTGCAAGTGCCCATTTCCAGCTGTGGTCATGAGCTCCAAGAACTGCATTCTTGTAGCTCGTCATGACTGGAGATGTGCCAACTGGACACAAGCACATTGCCTTTGTGCTCCTGCAGGTTCAGACTGGCAGCACAAATACAACCTCTTACAGTCTTGCGTAAGCTCAGAGCCTGTATTGGACTAAATACAGGAGCAAAAGCAATTTGCTGTCATTCCCACCAATGACAAAGGCATCACTCTTCAGCTACAGCCTAGCTTAAGCAAATCCAAGCCAGCCAAAGTTTTTCTCTGCTGAGGACTAGATATCTGTGCTCCCTCAGGTTTAACACAGCAATGACGTCTTACCACTTCGATGACATTCATTAATTTCTTTCGCATGTTTTGCTGCATATTCTAATAGAACTATTACTCTGAAATCGCTACACAGAACTGGATGAAATAAACTTGTTAGCAAACATACTATTTGAAGATTGTCAGCAACTCACTAAATTCCTCATAAAAATGATAAACAGGATGCAATTATTAGCAAGGGAATGGGGAGGAGCAAAAATTATTAATTAGTCAGAAGAGCTTAAGGAAAGAAGATTTGGAGAGAGTGAAGATCTGTTAAAAGCTCTTCAGTAGGACAATTTTTTCCAGCTATTTGTGTAAGTCATGTTTTATCTCACTATGTTTTCATGTTCTGTTAAAGGCTAACGAGATGAACACTGACTCTGTGCTAGAAAGCAGTTACCTAAGTAAATACATGTAAAAGTGGGAGTAACCTTCTTCCATGCTACGCCCTAATGGATATGTCAAGTGTGGATACAAGTTATCTACTGAAGAACGTTAGGTTTCAGTTGTCATTTTTTCCAGTATTTCTGCAGTACTGTTGATAAGACAGGCAGAACAAATATTTTTCACAATCAATTTTGTCAACAGTTACCTATGAAATACTAGATGACAAAAGCGGTTTTGATTTACAGCTACGTTTAGGGAAATCTCAGAAATTAAAGATATGAAAGAACTTAATTTCCTTCATACTGAAGAAGGTGAATTAAACTATGGAGCTTTCAACAAATTATTCTTATTACATTTCCTTCTTTCTTATGAAAATTAATTTCCTCCAGTACACTGTAAACTACTAGAAGCAATTTTAATCCCATGCAAACACTTAAATCTCACACATTTCCTGAACATTATTCTGGTGGAGAATATACACTAATTAACTGGAAGGAGGCTTACTTATTTAAAGGAAAATTCTTACAAACTCTTTACATGGGTTTCATCTGAATTTGTTTTCACTTACTGAAAGCTAACAGATACCAACATTAATTTTTAATGAAAATTTCAAAACGTATTTAAGTCTTTTTTCATTCTGTTATCCAGTATGACCTAAATGGTGAAGCTTCCTCACACACATTGTTTCTTATTTAAGAGCCAAATCTTTTAGAAAAAGCACCTCTTAACTCACCTTGAGGTAGCTGATGTTTTGTGGATGTATACTACTGACAGCTAAACCATTTAAATAAAAATAATATTTATCAGTATTATTTACAAGGGGCATTCAGATTCAGACAATAAAAAAGAAACTTCTAGAGATTTTAGGAGCATCCAACCCAGATCCCTACACCAAATTATATTCTCTTTTTTATTATAAAGGAAGAGCAGGGAAACAAGCCAGCTCAGCCTGAAGTTAGCTCTTGTGAATACTCCCCCATCCATTTCATCCATCAACAACAGTATTTGAACCTAGATAGTTTTCAGCATTGGCATCTATATTTCTTGGAGCTCAGATTGTTGTATGAACCTCTTTCATCAAAAGTGTTACTTATCCTTTCACGTATTACTTACAGATAGTAAAGAAATTGGACTGTGGAGGATCCCTCTGAGATCCCACTGGACACTTTCCAAAAGTAGATCATTTTACTGTATTCTATTTACTCCTTTATACACTTTTCAATCCAGGTGACAAGGCTGAGAGGCAACAACAGTTTTTCAGTAAGACCGTACAGCGCAAGATCGTATGGAGCAGACACAGCACTGCAACATACTCTTTTGGTCAGCAGAGGCATCCATCACTTTCCTAGCCTGTTCCAACAGTTACAATACACAAGCTAGGTGCCGGCTTCTTTCACATTGACACCGAGATTTATCCCATTTTGAAAACTGGTTTAAAACCCCAATTATTTGTGATATTTGCCCCTCTGCCTTTTGGCAGCTACCTAATGCTGCTTGTATGCCACAAGAGATTGTCAAAGGTTTAGTGTGTACAGAAACTTGCAAAAAGGTCTGCGATCTGCTATATCCAGATCTGTTGGTTCTATCTTAAAGCTATTTTGTTTTATTAAAAAAAAAAATACATACTAGAATGAAGCTAACTTTTTAAGATTAGAAGTCCAAAAGATGCATAAAGAGCTTGAACTTTAAGTGTAAAAAAAAAACTGACTAAGAATGGTATGACTGCACAGAACACATTTCAGTAAGAGTTTTAGACATGGGAAATAATCATAAATCAGTCTTTACAGTGAGACTACATATGACAGATAACACTGAACACTACTTTGCAAGACAAATTATTTTTGAATAAGCTTATCTTCTACGTTTTGTGGTTCACTGAGATTTTTAAATCCTCATATATACCCATTAACATAGAAAACAATTACAATACAGAAGTAGAAAATAATTACATACTCTAGAAACAAATCAAAAGAACAGATCAATGTGTCAACAGATAAGAGCACATAATCACTGTAGACTGCAGCACATTTCTAGACCAGAGGTAGTTTAAATCATCAGGTATTGCTCTGGCAAGAACCCCAAAGAGCACAGCAGAAGATAACTTAGCGCCCCTTTTCCCCAGAAACAGCAGAGTAAGTCAGATTGAATTAATTCCAGTACTGCTGTGGCTGAACAGATTTCACAGCCTGCAGTGTGATTTCTGTTGATGAACTCCAAGTTCTTGCACTTCTATACTTGAAGAATGGCTTAAAATTAAGGGCTCAAGTAGAATGTGGCTATACTTACATCCGACAAACCCGAGCACTACCTATACAGGGTTATGTTTGATGTAATTCTAAGTGAAAAGAAGCAGCTGCACTGCAAATCATTACTCTCAACTTACCTGGTGCTAGCCCAGCAGTAGCAGGACTTCCCATGGAGGGGTGAGAGAACAAGGCTTGAGAGAAGGCAGACATACTTGACTGGGATACATTACTCAGCCTGGAGGTTGATCCTCCTTTAGGAATAAACTCACTTGCAGAAGGATTTGGTGTCTGTTTAAAAACAAATGTAAATTAAATGTTTATTTTAAATGTGAAGAGATGGTCAGTGCCTATTTTCTAGGCAAGACTACTGAGTGCAGGGGATATTTTTAAGTTACATAAGCTTGCCGACAAGAACAGCAGATACTGGTCTGCACAACAAAAATACATGTTTTTCTAGCTTGCATCTGAAGTTGCTTTAGTAAACTTTCCATACGAACAGCTGATATAAAGTTCACACAAATGCTTTGCAAAAGGCTTCCCATAAGCATTACATTATAAAGTTGGAGAACAGCCCTGACCCTGAGAAAGCCTTGCCACTGCTGCACAGACTATTTTGATGGGACTTTACAATTTCCTCTCAAACTAAGTAGAAGTTTCAAATTAAAGTAGTAAAAATGATTCCTACTAAAGAAGTCATCCCCCCCTCTAGTTCAAATGGGCTTATATGTTCCTTTTGGTGAAGTTAACTTGTTTTAATTACCTATCCATTTAAATAGCACCTTTAGTAATGAGGCTTAACCTGGTACCACAGAAAAAAATGGCAGCAGAGCAACCATCAAACACTGACTATTAGTACATATTAGTATATAAAACATACCACACAATCAACTTTTAATTTCTATTTTAACCTGTGCACAGGGAGTTGCAGTTTTTGGGTGGGGTTTTCAGGTTTTTCTGGGGGCAGGGAGGGTTAGAAAAACAAAATCCTAATTAGAGCTCAAAAGGCAAAAATCTTATTATTGGACAGCCAATTACAAGGGATGGTAGTGGAATATAAAAGAAACTAAGCCAAGAAATAAAATCAATTAATGCATGAACACGCTGAAAATTTTGAAGATTATTAACTTCTGAAGTTAGGTTTACTTAGTAATCTTTGAAGTACCTCTCAAAAGTGTCTAAACAAAAGAAGTAAAATAAGAAGACAGTAACAACTCCCAATAGGTAGAGGATACTGTTAAGATGATCCACTTGCTTTTTTAAAGCAAATTATATTTGATTTGGTTTTAGGAATTTTTGAAATTACCAAATACATCAACTGTTAGTTAAATTATCAATATTGACTTTTACCAATAGGAATAAAGCGACATCAGAGAAGTTAGGTTAGTGTCAAATTAGAAGTGTGATTACAAAACACTAATTTAGACAGTGAAGTATTTGAAAAGTATCTTTTTCTGTGTTAATTTGGGTTTAATATATGTATTTGAATACTTCAAGCAAGTATCATAGTGTTAATGTATTTCATAGCACTAGAAAGAAAAAGGATTCTAAAAGTTGTAAAATTGAAGAGCACACTCAGGTTTAAAAGCAAATTGGAAGAATATTCCACCTTTAATCACACAATAAATTTTAACTGCTAACCACCTTACGACATTACATATTACTCATGTGCATGTGTCTGAATAACCAAATACGTAAACTGATGAGGCAAACCACTTTGATTTACACGGGTAAAAAGTTCATAAGAATCTTAAAACTCTTCAGTTACCTTTAGGTTCAGGAAAACTTGTTAAGGTGTGCACTAATGCAGCATAACAAAGGCTAAGTTGCATTACAGAGACTGGAAACAAATAACTGACACATTTAAGCTCCAAAGGTAATATTCTGGACTTATCTAAATTTTAGGTACAGGAATAATTGAGGGAATGGTGTTCCTCTAGATAAAATCTGGCATATAACAATTCAGCCAAATTCACATTCAAACTGGAGAAAATGACAGAGGTGGTAAAGAGCCAAAAAGAATTTGTCCCAGGAGCAACAGAGTTGAAAAGTCGTCATTAACCAAAACAAGAGCAAGGACAGAATTTGTAGCATCTTGCTAAACCCATGACATTTCAAAAGAACTATGTTGGAATCGGTTTTGCACTGCTAAAACCAGCCCCGAGACATGCACAGCTCTTACCCCACACCTCAACACCATGCCAGGCAGTACCGGGCATCAAGGGCAGGACACTGCAAAAAACTGAAGCACCCATGTGGAGGGAAAGGCACCTTCTGGGAGATAACCTCAGCCTTTCCTAGAGCAACTGAGAGTTCTCTAAATCCAATCCATGTCATTCTGGCTAAACTCTAACCACTTTCACAAGGTGATTCAGTGGCTGCCTACAGAACGGGGCTGCTTTTTATTTCTAAATGCATTCTGCGAGTTTTCACAGACCAGTTTTTGTCTCTAAAAAGTCACCTAAATATCCAAGCTGCTCGAGAGCTCCACTTTAACTGGTAGGTGTTTTAGTTTATGCAAGTGAAATAGTCAAACCCAGGAACTTGCTAGAGCAGTGTGGGTTTACACTTCAGAATTAAACCGCAGTGGATTAAGCCTGACAGAAATTCAGTTTTCATTCCATTTTTTGGTATCACAATCCAGGATCAGAATCAAGGCCTGATAATCTTAAGTTGTTTCTATATAACTTCAGTGTAAGCTTTTTATAAGAGTAAACAGATCAGATTTACACAGCTAAACCATTTATTATAAAAGCCTGTTTAATTTCTCTGTGATATTACCAACATGAAATTGTAATCAAAGACTTCCCCTTGGTTAAAAAGTGATTTAAATTTTGGTTCCAGTTTTAAAAGACCTTTCCACATTAAAGCTGTTTTCTAAACACAGAAAAATACCTGAGCTCTGCAGCCCCCAGCCATTAATAAACTAATCATAAACTAGTACTACAAAATTTAGTAATTTTTGGTCGAAAACAGTTAAAACTGTCAGAAAATCTGAAGATTAAGCCCCAGGTCACATTTAAACATGAAACATCCATGTGAAGTTACAGTTCTTAAAACATTTCCAAAAGCATACAAGTGCTGTCTCCCACAAAATAATAAAAAGTATATCCAAAACATTTTCCTAGCATGCAGGTTAGACTAAGTAACTAGATTAGACTAAGTGACTAGACTAGACTAAGCAAGGGAATGGAACATCACTATTAGGTTTTTAACAATTAATCTTTTCATTATTTTTTCCAAACTTTGGGGACAAACTATTTTGCACTAATAAGAATGCAAATACACCAAAATTAGGAAGCCACATTCTTAATGGATCTCAATTCAAAAAAGGGTGATCCTGGTCTGGAAACATATCCTACTTTCACTCTGGCAACTCATAACACAAAGTGTAAATTCCAACGCCAGCTTTACATTCGGATAAATGGTAAGCTTGAAAACCTGTCTAAAAAGGGACTATGCTTTAAAATCCTACAGGGTATTTTTACAGTAAAAAAAAATATTATTTTTTGTAAGAATAAAAGTAATCTGTATCTAATTAGCAAAAAACATTTTCTTCATTCTGTATTACATTTAAACTTCCTAGAGGCAGTTTTAAAACAAATTAATCTCAGAGTAAAGTAATTTATATGTGCAAGACCAGGCTTAAAATTTTAAGTCTGAGTAGGTCAGGATTGGTAAAAAAAGGTATTCAAGGCTTTTATTAAACCTTGGGTGTAATGGAGATGCAAGAAATAGAGGACATGTAATGAATTACACAACACTGTGATGTTAAAAACAAAAGCAGTGAATGCACTTTGTAAAGCCCAAACAAGAAATACAAAGCCCATTAGCACTATCTGCACTATGCAACAAACTAAAACCTGTATTTTAAGTTTCAAGTGGAAATCTATTATAAAAAGGCACATAATCAATTTTTTGAAATAATTTTGTAATGTTTTCAACAAACAGCCTTAAAGAGAAACAGGTACAGATTTGTCAACCATATTAGATTTTCCTAGAAACCCACCTAAAGTAATTTCCAACTCGTATATCTACTATAATTACCATCATTTCCTTTTTCTCTTATCCAGTTTCATCTCAGTCAGTTTAAATCTCATCCCCCTTCTCCCAGTATATCGATAAAAACACTGTCAAACTAAAGCAGGAAAGCAACTTTCCTAAGCAGTATTTGAATTAATACCTGCTTCACGTATTCTTACCAGAATAACCACGTTTCACCAAAATACCCTATTCTGAGACTCTTTCCATCACAAGGAAAATTACAATTTGCTATTACAAGAAGAGCCTCTTTTCATTCACTTTTGCAAAGAAACTTCCAAGGACAGGCTACAAAACTGAGTGCACTCAGCTTCAAACACAAAACCAATTTCTACACTTCTGCACATCAGGATAATACAAAGTGCTATAAACCACACACATGAATTTAGTCATGATACAATTAGCAAGGATGGAACCACAAGAGAAGCAAAAAGTGCAGGGGACCATAAACCAACTTATTAGTGTCACCATTCAGCACAGAGTTTACCTGTCTAGTGGTCTTATGCTTTTAAAGATAAGAAAGGAAATATAATTAAAACAGAGCATGGAGGGGAAGAAACAAATATTTTACGGGTACCACCAAAAAATACTTCAAGGTTCCATAACGTAAAGTGCAGATGAAGACCATGGCTGGGAGAGCCACACAGCAGTGTGCGGCATTACTGTACGCTGATGAGTCACATGTATCAACACATTTCTGTAATCCAAAAGCAAAATGAAAATTCCTGTTTCATTGACAATCAATTTCATAACATAGGATTTGTCTTTACACTCCTTGGTGACAAACTCCGAAGGCCCCACTGCTACGTTCATTCATACATGAATTCCTGAAGTGCTATGAAGTCATGAAGGTCATGCAGGGATCCCACAGGAATACTGGAAACCACCCTTCTCGCTCTCCCTCTTTCTCTCATTTCCAGTTCAGCATCTCGCAACACAACACAGAGCTGCACAGCAGCAGCAGAGCCACCACCTCTGTTTCAGTGGCTCTAGCACTATAAATCAGCTCTGATCCAATGTTCAACCAAAGCTCAAAGCCAGCTACCTAAAGCAAAAAGTAGGCCAATTTCATTTAATTTTGCAAGAACGTGCTAATGTACTTACCATGCTAAGAACTGGATACAAGCCTTTTTGTTCTCTTTCTATGTTCTCCTTCATCTCCAAGTTCATGCCGATCTGTTTTGACATCCCAAATTGCATCACCTTGTCATGGTTACAGAAGAATACCACTCAAGTATGCCCACACTATAAAGCAGGGCAGCCCTCTACCAATCTATTTTGCCACAGATTTCAAACTATCTCTTAGGAATCCAAAACCACACAAAAGTATTGCTTGTTTTCTTATGTGCAGTTATTTTTTGTTGGTTTTCAGGGTGTCTTCACTGCCATTTTTAAATTGGCAGATGTGCCATACAAGGAGCATCACTTGACGTAGAGAGTGTTGTTATAACCCCTCCATTTCCAGAGCGATTCCTTACTAACTATGACATCAACCAAGGACACATTCTAGTATGTCAGAGCAGCCCAGCAGATACTGGAGGTCACCAAGGGCTTCCAATGAATTTTTCTTTCCCTCTCGCTACTGAATCTGTGCAATACCCTACCTTACTGCAATTACTGTGAGAAGCTGTCACATCATCTGTACAACAAGCTTTAATAAATGCCAATTCATCAGCATAGTCAACCATACTGCACTAAAGCTCCCGCAGAAGAGTTAGAGCCAATTTCATTAAAACTGGGTAAAATGTGTTGGCTAAAGATTTAGTTGTTTTTAAGCCAGAACATAGGCTCAGGCAAATAAATCTACCAGCAAAGTTTTGTTACATTTGGCAAGTAGATGTCATTTAAAAAGTAAACTTTGAAAAATCTGGGGTGTTTCCACACTAACAAAAAATCCTGCCAAGAGCTGTAAAAGCTGTGAAGTTTTAGAAGTCCATGTTCTTGACGCAAAATATTTTAAAAATTCATTTCTACAATTTTTTTGTGTTCAAGAAAGAAAACAAAATCAATCAGTTATTCACGGAGCTTAAGAACTGATCTGTATAATTAAAAATGTATCTATTCCTGCTATTTCAAGGAAAATTACAATTTGCTATTACAATACACACCACGTGGTGATACAGTAGCTCAGGATATCTCCTGATACAGGGTAGAGCATATCACTATGGAATTAACTTTTGGCTTGGTGGAGTTTTTCAATTTTTCTTTGTTCATCTGTTCTGTGGTTTTTTTTGGTTTTTTTTTTAAAGCACAACCCAGAATACAATTCACATTGTGGACTTGACTTTTACTGATGCATAGCATTCAAAGAAAATATATCTGGATTATAAATTCATAGTCAGGAATGACAAACAGTTATGATGTTTTAAAATATACGTTGTAAACTACCTTGCTTTCTAAAACTGCCACTTTCTGGACAAAAATCTCTAAATTGCACCACGGAATAGTGTATTGTCACTTCTTAAATCATCCATTTGGAAGAGTAGTCATTCAAATAGATACATGAACTTTGACATCTGCCCAGCACTGCAAGCCCTCAGCAATTCTGACATTAATTCTGCTTTCTCATCTTAAAATAAAAAAATGGGCCCTCAAACAGATGTGCCTCCATCACAATTTAACCTTTTTGCTTATTGCTTAGCACTTACCATCAGCCAAAATTTAGTTTGTGTAACCTATACTCACACCTGCAAAAAACCTCTAAGCAGCCTGTACTTCAAAACATTGCAATGCTATCTGCAGATTACATACATAATGAAGCAGGAAAAAGGTCAATCCAAAATCTCAGTATGAATCTATCCATTTTTACGTATTTTCGTGTACCAATGTTCTCCAGCCATTTTTTGTGCTTTTATCAAGCTTCGTTTTGACGGTAACTTAGTAAATGTTCACATTACAATAAAAAGATTTACAACGATCAGAATGAAAACATCAGAATAAAATTTGGTTTCTCATATACGTAAAGTTTTATATAACCTCATAATAGCACCTCCAGTCTGTTTTTACATCTTTCTGCATTCTTGCCGGACTCTGCTGTTTCTCTGCAATCCTGCATGTTTCTTCTCAAATTCTATTTCCTATGGCTGGAATATCCTTCTGTTCTTATTTCCACCACATACACATATACACATATTTTCCCAAAGTCCCACATCTCCATGGGAAGCTATCTAATTGCATGGTATAACACAAAACCTTACGTTGTACACAGTTTAAATCAATGATATAGCTGAGATTCTGGCACAATAAAGGAGCTTGGAATTGCACCCTTCAAAAGCAACACGGCTCTGCAGCCAATACCAAGCTATTGGTGCTAACCTCAGAAAGCCAGGGGACCTTAAGCTTCCCCTTGCCACGCTTTCAGCACAACTTTGGAGGTCACAGGTACCGAGAAGACAATCGTTCCTGGCCAGAAGTTACAAGTCTCAGACAACTGGCCGTCCAGCCTCCAGAAACATTAAGTTTTTCTGCTCTGAGTAAACCAACGATAAACCTTGTTGCAACACCGAACAGCAGAGGAAACCATGAAGGACTTGAGTACAAACAGGGTTTTCCCTGCCCTTTAACGTCCACCTGAAATTCAAAGACCAATGTTCTGATTTTCTCTTCTCAGAGTAACTGCCTACTAGTTAGTTTATGCAGGATATGCTCAATCTATCAATCTTCTCTCCTTTGAGAAAAGTAGTGCTTCACAGGCTCCAGCTGCTCGTCTGCAACCTCACCTGGGCCCTCCAGCAATGTTTCTTTACACCTCATCTTTTCTCCACCAGTGGCTGTGTTGCTTCCCCAGCAGACTTAAGCTCAAACGTCCCTACACAACATAGCATCAGTTGGTGGCAGCACGCTGCCCCTGACTCCCAATTTCAGATATCAATACTGCAAAATTATATGCATGTGGAAGGGCCCTCCTAAAAGCTTTATGGTAGTCATTACATGGCAGAAATCTCACAAACTAAAAGAAACTCTTCATGGGTCACAAATTCTAGTTAAAAGCATGTTGTCAGTTTATTCATTTCACTCAGAAAACATCAGAAAGAACATAACCCTCAGACTATAATAACGATTTCTGAAGAATCAAAAGCAGAAGTGCTAAATATAATAATAATAACACCCATTTTAAGGGATATGGAGCAGACTCCTAACCTAGAATTATCTTTCATTATCATTCCAAGGACGACTTGTTACTTCTGTACAGAAATGCTCAAATCCACCTGCATCTCTCTCCTTATAAGGAGCTGACAAAAATTTAGGAATAAAGTAAAGTAACAACAAAGTTTAACATGAATTTAGAGAAACATACACCATCCCAACACAAAAATTAAGAATTTACACTTTCTGATCATGATCGTTACATCATCAAATTCTGTACTGAGTGAATTTATTTGCATTAAGGGTTAATCATTTCAACAGAGATTACTTATTTTACCAGTAGAAACCTTCCTCATATGAAAATTAAAATAAAAGGCTGTATTTGTTTGCTTTTAGAATACATTTAATAATTATTTTTGCTCCTTCTCCACAGATTATAATATAATCAAGCCAAACACATAGCACATCAATAGATGAAGAGAATAAAACCTCTCCAAGTTACTCTCCTGGAGGGCCACTATGTCTATTTTGTGAAATAAATGTTTGATCTGATCTCAACTCGTACTTGGAGTAATTCCTTCTAACATTTTCCAACATTTAAAATAAAGCATCCAAAATACTAAAAAAATGACTAGTAAAAAATAATTTTACCTGTAAATTGTTTTCTGTGACTCTGTTCCACCAAACCATATTGATGGGTACTCCTGTTTTACACCTGTCAGCCAGACAGCCGATAGGGTTCTTTGATTTTCTTGCTTTTGATCCCACCGGAACTATCCTTTCATCCAGCATCCCCAGTCGATACTTCCTGGGCTACGAAAAAGAAGGAGAGAAACCAGGCCACTCCTAACAACCCTCATCTAAAGCTACACTAAAAGAGGTGTTACACTGTGATATGATTTCTGGATTGGTGGAATAGGAAACAATTTGCAAGTAAAATTTATCTGAGACTGTTTCCTTTCAATCCTGACTATTTGGTTGTAACAAACACTTCAGGAAAAAAAAAAAAAGAAAAGAAACTTGAGGAACTACTAATTATTTGTAAGCAAAACTGACCATCACAAGTCAGCCACTGAAATACAAGCATAAATTGAGAAATTCTGTAAAAATTAGGAATTGTTTAAAAAAATAAATAAAACCATATTTCTCAAATAGATACCTTCAATCACATCATAATAATGAACACTTCCTGTGGGATTTCTATCAAATAAGAAATTAACATTGGCTTTTGTATGCTTTTTAATTCAGATTTGCCAAGACTCCTCTGCTGAAGATATGCTTCTAAAAATCATTTACAACTGAGTAGCCAACTGCAGAACTCAAGGAAAAACGTTTCTGCTTAAGTTAATATCCAAAAGACTGGCTTCAGCTACTGTCTTAAGTAAAAACAGATAATAATTACCATGATAAATGCATTGGAAGCTGACAAAATTTGAGAAAATGAACATGCAGGAGGTACTTGCAAGTCAATAGAAGCGTCATTTCTATTACATTAGCAATGATATCTATAAATGAAACTACTTATATAGTACAATATAAACATTAATTTAAAAAAAAGCATACTGAAAAAGAAACCAAACATATCTGCTAAAGACCTTCAAACAGGTAAAGTACAGAAGTTCTCTAGATTTCTCTGTGCTTTCAAACCTACTTAGTATATCTAGTATTTACTATCTACTATACTAGATATACTAGATATACTATCTATGTAGATATACTACCTAGATAGTAAATACCACCAAAAGAAATATTTTGGCACCTATGCGTATTTAGACCTGGACCTTTAACACTGATTATACCACCAACTGGAACTTAGTCTGGTTTTCTTTTGTTGTGTTGGTTTGGGATTTTTATGTAAAAATGCAACTATCATCATCTGGATATAGACCACTTTAAATAACCAAAGCTTAACTTACGTTTATTTAGATATCTACTTCATTTGACACCTGAGAAATCTTAGCAATGTGTACCTTGATATGCACTTTAAGACTTGCTCCTCAGAAAACAAGGCAAGAATCTAACTGGAGAGGATTCCCCACTAACACAGGAACAATTTGTAAAAAACAGGATGAAATTGCTTCATAAACAAAACCTAAACAGACTCCCTCCTCTACTTCCCTGAAAACTGTTAGGCTTAAAGCTTTGGAAGAAATAAAAACTAAATAAAGCGAGTAGTACCTCATCTACTTTAAAAAAACCAAAAGCCAACAACAAAACATAGCCACAGCATGAACAAAGGCAATAAATTCCATGAAGATCAAGTTAACCACTTCTAATAACAATAAACAAGACTGAATTTTGCCATACCAATTAGAAATTTGGTAAACTGTGTAAAGGGTAGCACAAAGTCCTCCAACGGCTCAAATACAAACCTGATCATGGTTAATTTAAATATTGGTTCTTTACTGGGAGAAACACTCAACTGTTTGGCAATTTACCATCTCAATAATTCAGGAAGACTACTAGTATCATAAAACACAAAGCTGTAAGGTCTGAGAAGCCAGACATAAAATGCTGGACTTCAGGTCAAGGTCTGAACACAGTATCTCCCTTAGTCTCACTACTGGAAATAAGAACATAACAGAGTAACTCTCTCCCTGGCAGCTTTCCCATCTCTCTCCATGCTCTACCACGTGCAGGGGCACAGTCTGCCCCAGACTACTGGACTGCAACCCAGTGTCCAAACACGTTCCTGTTTGTCAGAGTTTCTTTTAATGCTCCATTACAAAAGGTGATCTATAAATATTTTTAAAAAGGAGACCTCAAACAAAAAAAGGATCTGAGCCGACATGGAGCGAGGCTACTTAGGTTACAACTGGATTTATATTCCAGGCAACAGAATGAAACTCCTGTTTATAGAAGTGTGTAGCAACAGGATGAGGGGCAATGGTTTTAAACACGCAGCATAGAAGACCTACCTGGCTAAACAGAGACATTTGGCTGAAAATCAAGGCAAAAAGGAGACTTTATGGCCTCCGGAAGAAGGGGCAAGCCACTCACAATGAGTACAAGGATAATGTTAGGTTATGCAGGGAGATAATTAGAAGGTCCAAACCCCAGCTAGAAATTAATCTGGCTTTCAAAGTAAAGGACAGCAAGAAAAGCTTCTATAAATACATTAATAACAAAAGAAAGACCAAGGAGAGCCTCCATCCCCTACTAGACCCAGGAGGAAATATAGTGACAAAGGATGAGGATAAGGCTGAGTGCTTAATGTCTTTTTTGTCTCAGTCTTTAGTAGTAGAAACATGTGTACTGAGGGAAGGCAGCCTCACAAGCCAAGAGATGAGGGCCAGGAGCAAAACATCCCCACCACAATCTAGGAGATGGTCAGGGACCTGCTGCTCCACATCAATATCCACAAATGTATGGGGCCAGATGGGGTACATGCTAGAGTACTGACATAACTGGCAGAGGTGCCTATCAAATCACTGTCCACCATTTATCAGCAGTCCTGGCAGACTGGGGAGGTCCCAGCTGACTGGAAGTCAGCCAATATAACATTTATAAGAAGAGATGGAAAAAAGATCTGGGAAACTACAGGCCTGTCAGCTTGACTTCAGTTCCAGGAAAGCTGATAGATTGGATCATCCTGTGTTCCACCATGCAACAAATGCAGGATAATCAGGTGATGAGACCCAGTCAGCATGGGTTTGTGAAAGGCAGGTCCTGTTTAACAAACCTGATCTTCTACATCAGGGTGACCTGCTGGTTGGATGAAGGAAAGGCTGTGGATGTTGTCTACCTTGACTTTAGTAATGCCCACAGCATTCTCCTGGAGAAATTGCCTGCTCTTGGCTTGGATGGTCATACACTTTGCTGGGTGAAAAACTGGTTAGACAGCCGAGTCCAAAGAGTTGTGGTCAATGGAGTTAAATACAGTTGGCGACCAGTCACAAGCCGTGTCCCCCAAGGCTCAGTACTGGGGCTGCTCCTGTTTAACATCTTCATCAATGCTTTGGACAAGGGGATAGAGTGCACCCTTAGTAAGTTTGCAGATGACTCTAAGCTCGGTGCAAGTGTCAACCTGCTTGAGTGTAGGGAGGCTCTACAGAGGGATCTGGACAGGCTGGATCACTGAGACAATTCCACAAGTTTCAAGAAGGCCAAATGCCAGGTCCTGCACTTCGGCAACAACAACCCCGGGCAGCACTACAGGCTTAGACAGGAGTGGCTGGAGAGCTGCCAGGCAGAGAGGGACCTGGGGGTGTGGATGGACAGCCGGCTGAACATGAGCCAGCAGTGTGCCCAGGTGGCCAAGAAGGCCAGTGGCATCCTGGCCTGTATCAGGAATGGTGTCAGCAGGAGTAGGGAGGTGGTCATGCCCATCTACTCAGCCTTGGAGAGGCCTCACCTCATGTACTGTGTCCAGTTTTGGGCCCCTCACTACAAGAGGGACATTGGAGTGCTGAAGAGGGCACAGAGGTGGGCTACCAAGCTGGTAAAGCATTTGGCACATATGTCCTACGAGGAACGGCTGAGGGATCTGGGGTTGTTTAGCCTAGAGAAGAGGAGATTGAGGGGAGACCTTATCGCTCTCTACAACTACTTGAAAGGAGGTTGTAGCGAGGCAGGGGTTGGGCTGTTATCCCTAGTGGCAAGTGATAGGATGAGGGGAAATTACTTCAATTTGCACCAGGGGAGGTTCAGATTGGATATTAGGAAGAATTTCTTTACTGAGAGGGTTGTCAGTCATTGGCACAGGCTGCCCAGGGAGGTGGCTGAGTCACCATCCCTGGAGCGTTTAAGAGAAGGGCAGATGTTGCCTTGAAGACACGGTTTAGTGGTGTTGACAGGGCTGGAAAAGGTTGGACTCGATCTTGAAGGTCTCTTCCAGACAAAACTGTTTTACGATTCTATGATTAAACTATAGCAGGGTAGGTTTAGACTACATATCAGAAAGAAGTTCTACACAGTGAGGGTGGTGAGACACTGGCACAGGTTGCCCAGAGAGGCGGTGGAGGGCCCATCCCTGGAGACATTCAGGGTCAGGCTGCATGGGGCTCTGAGCAACCTGATGTAGTTAACAACTGCCCTACTCACTGCAGGGGGTTGGACTAGATGACCTTTAAAGGCCCCTTTCCAGCCCAACACATTCTGTGATTCTATGAACTGTATTTTAGGCTTTATTAAGGAACATACTGGGGGCCAGGAGGGCAAACAATGGTCAATTCTATGCCACAAAGCAACAGAGACAACATGAGTTCTTGGCCTACTGGTATGAAAAAAATTGAACTAAAAAGTGCATGAGTCTAAATTAAAATTTTGCTTTCGTTATCTACTACAAAACATCACCCAGGGATTACAAGGCCAAAATTTAAAATTATTCAGACATTAGAAGATGGAATATACAATATTAGCATTTGGAAATAAATTTCATTTATTTGCATCAAAATCAATCTGAATTACACTTTTTTTTAATAAGAAAAATGGCATCTGATTCAGAAATCCAATCTGACTTTAGAGGAGACCAGAAAACAGCGACTGCCAAAATAATCAACAAAAAGGAAAGATCAAATAGACTGAGCAGTTTGAATAAGCGCATCAACTTTGCTACACCCCTGCCTTCTACACTGAGCAGTAAATAAAGCAGAGATAGAACAGCATATGTTGAAACAAGCAAGAACTCATCAACCACTGCTCATGTCTGAGCTACACTAATGTATCTGTCCAAAACACTGTCAATGTGGGAAAAAAAATCCAACTTCTTTGGCACAGGGGCAATTTCTCTTGGATGATTACAAAAGCAATTGAATTTTTGCCTTCCCTAAAGCCTTTCCATGAGGTTTAAAAACCTGTTCAGCCATACAGAT